ATACAGGTAGGGAAACAGCTAAATTAGCCCAGTGAGGGCTTTTTTCCCTTCATGCAGCAAAATCTACTGCATAACCCTGCCAGACTGATAGCTCCATGGATTGCTCTTTCCTAGAGGCATGAATAAAACTACCACTTGCTTCTTTGCTGATGAGCTCAGCTGCCAGTCTGGGGGGGGTAGGGGGGGTGACATAATTCGTTACAACTCTTTATTTTATTGCAGGGTTAACCTGTTAACCTTGTCTGCTTGCTGCAGAGCCTGTCGCAGGGAGAGAGCGGATGGGTTCGTTCTGCAGTTACTGGCCCTGGGTTGCTTAACAGGAAAAATGGTTTTTATTATTCCCAGCCTGTTGGAATAGTTGGTTCATAGAGTATCATCTTTGCAACACTGCCAGAAGGAGCTGCCTTGTTGATCAAGCCCGTCAGGAGAGGTTTCCCACCTCATGTTTGCTGTACTGCTGACACTTCTTCCGATTTTGTAACCAAAGAGGGGGCAAAAACATCTCATCTCCGTGTTTTTAATGTTTATGTTGAACACACAGGTATCAGCATGTCGGTGCTCACCAGCAGCCTCTCCACACCCCATGCAGTGTTGCAGCAGGAAGGCGAAAGCTTTGAGGAGCCTGGTTTTGAGGCATGTGTTGAACAGGCTGGGGACAAAGCTTATTTCAAGCCTCTTTGAACATGACATGTTTTCATAAAGGCAGTTTTCCGTGGAGGAACAAGAGTCTTCCGCTCCTCTGCCTGCGTTCGCTGCGGTGGGCAGATCACGACATCTTGCTAACCTTCTGCCTTCCCTCTGTTGCAGTGACGATGCAGCAAGTGGCCAGGACGGTGGCCAAGGTGGAGCTCTCGGACCATGTCTGCGATGTGGTGTTCGCGCTCTTCGACTGCGACGGTGAGTGACCAGAACCTCGCCCCGTTCTTCTCAGCCAGGCTGGGTGAGAGTCGAGCTGGGGAAAGAAACACAGGGGGGGAAAAAACGCCAGCCGTGAAAGCTTGCCATGGCCTTGGCTCTTCTTGCCACACTACCATCCGCTTTTTGGCTGTGGATCTGTACCGATGCTCATGCCCTTCTAGGAAGGGTATCTGATGTTACCCAGCTTCCGAGATGTTGATCTTAAAGCAGGGGATGCAAGCGTTTGGTGTGCACAGCTTGCTACACAGCTTTTTTTTTTTTTTTTCCTTCCACAAAACCCTATTTTGTTTAACAAAACGAGCTGCTGTGCTCCAGTGTTGGAAACGAGCCTATCTGGTACTTTGTTATCTCCAAAGTCCTAGACAAATATCAGTTTAATTAATTAATGGCAGCTCTGTGCCCTGCTGGGAAGCTTGTTGCTTTGCTGGCCCACAGAGGATGCAAGCGCTTGGGGGTAGCTTGTTGCCACACTGAAGCAGTCTCGGGTTGATTTAATGAGAATTAGTGGAGTCTTTGCCACCAGGGGATGATGGCAGCAATTCAGACTTGGAAAGTAGCAAAATTCTGCATTTGCGCAAAACTATCAAGCCAAAACCAGAGACCTTGCTGGCACCCTGCTTCTCCAGCACAATCACTGGGATCTGGCAGCTCTGAGCGGCAGCAGTGATGCATAAATAGACAGTTGTTTGCTTTCTGATATAAATATGAACATGAAAAAAAAAAAATCTTTATTTTATTCCTTGTTGTCCCTCTTGGTTTCAGCCCCACCTGCTTCTTTGCACCTTTCTAAGGTTGCATCATCTCTTGCTTTATTTTTTCTCTGTGCTTCGGTGCCACTTTCTGATACAATCCTCAAGCCAGATGATCAGGCTGGAGATTAGAGTGAACCGAAGCGTAGCCAAATATTCTGTTTGCATCCTCTCATAGGAGAATCTGCTAAATATTTTGATAGCAAACCTTTGGGGGGAAAGACTGTAGTTGCCAGAGTGGTCCCTGTAAGGAAGGAATCAAGTGGAAAAGCAGGCGCAGACCTCTCTTTTTTTTTTTTTTTTGGTGTGGGTTGTTTTTTTTGTGTGTTTTCACTCCGTTGGTGTTTATAGACATTACCATGCATGCATCAAAAACCTGCAGCGCCAGAGGGAATTTTACTCGCCCCTTGATAGTTTGCTGGAATTTCGCTGCCCAGATTTGCATTCGGATGTAAAGCAGGAAAAAAAGCTTTCAAATGAAGAAACTCATTCATGAAATATAATGACGCGGTTCCCCATATGAGCCAGAGAGATTCTCTCTCCTTTGATCTTTGGAACTGATGGCACTGGCGGGTTTGTTTCTCGAGGGCTGATGTTCCTCATATTTCTTCTGTGCCCAAAGGTGGGTTGCTTTCCTGTGCTGCTCCCCAGAAGCTAAAATCACTGCTATCAGCTGTGTGCCATAGGCAGGGGGGCAAAACAGGCAACGGGATACATGCAGCATCATGGCAGAAGGCATCAGCCCCTCGGCAGACAGGCGTCAGGCTGTCGGTCACGCCGTGGCTTGCTGCTCTCCCCTCCTATCAACCAGTGCCCTAAATAAAAATCCCAGAAGTCTTAATTTATTGGTGGTTAAGCAACTACAGAATAAAATTTGCCCAAATTTACTATAATCTTATTTTTAACATAAATTTAGTTGACGTAATTCTCAATAACCTCACTGGATTACTTTAATGAATCTTCCCTTCTACTCCATTAAGAAAAATCTGTGCTCTGGTACCCTGTGCTCCTGTAATTTCCTAAATCACATAAAGCAGAGAGTTTTCTGTGGGTGCATGGGCATTTGCTTTGCATTTGCTTTTCTGTCTTCAAGCCCCCGCACTCCAGACCCTGCAAGACGTGGCAGTGCCAGGCTAAGCAGGGCAGCATCCGTAGGGTTGGGATTGAAACATGCAAGGGTTCGGCAACCCTTGTTCCGCA